CTATATTTGAAGCAATCTCATAAGTTAGTAAATATGAACGTTGTCATTTCTTATTTGTATTCCAAAATTATCTTATTCACCCTTACATTTGAAAGGTCTCCTCAACTATTACTTATAACTTTTATTATAGTTCTTTTTATTTCCCTTAGGAGTGCTTATTCCACATTGACAGTTCAGATAGAAAATCTTAAAATTTATTTGAATAATGAGTGTATATCTCATTGAATTCCTTTCATGTATCCACATCAAAAATACAGCCATAGATCTGGGCATGTGGTTTAGTTGTTGCCTAGCATGCATGATGCCCTGTACCACACAAACAGAAAAGGACAGAAGTGGTGCTGTGGCTCAAGTGGTAGAACACTAGCCTTGAGCAAAAGCAGGTCAGAGACAGTACCCAGATGCTGAGTTCAAGCCCCAAGACCGGCAAAAAAATAAAAAATAAAAAAAATACAGGATTTTTTTCATGTTTCTTACTAATATTTCCTAACTAAACTTTATAGTCTAACACAAATAAGTACTATCAGATCTTAAAAAAAAAATCCTGTTTGTACGTCACAAACATAAAATTACATAATTACTTTTAACATAAAATATTTTTGAATGTCAAATATTGTGCAAGAGATTTAAGTTCATTCTGATATGGCTTTAATATCCTATAATATCTATAAATATTTAAATCTAATTTATATCACTTAATGGTATTTTCATAGAGGATACTTCTACTGCAGAAACAAATCAGATCAACAAAATTAGAAGGGGTGTTTGAAATCAATGGTAGAAGTCACTAAGTTCATTAACAAGTTGAGCCAGGTAGTGGTGACTCACACCTGTAACCCGAGCTATTCAGAAGGTCAAGATCTGAGGATCATGGTTCAAAGACAGCCTAGACGGGAAATCCATGAGGCTCTTATCTCCAATTGACCATCATCAAAACTGAAATTAGCATGTGGTTCAAAGTGGTAGAGTGCTAGATTTGAGCAAAAGATCTCAGGGACAAAATTCAGGCCCTGAGTTCAAGCCTCATAACCCCCCCCCCCCCAAAAAAAAATTAACAAGTTGAACCTGGGCACTGGAGGCTCATTCCTGTAGTCCTAGCTACTTATAAGGATGGGATTTGAGGATCACAGTTCGAAGCCAACCTGGGCATAAAAGTTATGTTACTTCAAGAAAGCCACATGTGGAACTGTGGCTTCAGGTGGTAGAGCACTAGCCGTAAGCAAAAAGGAAAAGCTTAGGGGCCAAGGATTCACGACCTACAACTAGCACCTAAATAAATTAAGTTAATATACTGAAAAATTAAAAGATTTGCTTTGAATTTCCTATTTGCAACCCATAAGTGTTTGTGTTTTACCATTATAGTATTTCCATTCAACTACAGTATTACTTCAGTGCTTATTCTACCTTCTTCCTGCTAACTCATTTTTAAGTATATCAGTTAAACTTGCTTTATAATGAAGTCACTTCCATCATTTCTGTATGTAAATTGAAAAGTGTTAAATAAAATTGGCTACATATTAGGATAATTACTGATATCCTGCAAATCTTACATTCTCCCTCTAAATCTCCAAAGACCAAAGCTAATAGTGACAGATATTTTCCTCCAGAAATCAGTTGTAAGAGGTCAAGACTGCAATTGACTCCACCTTGCTTTTCCATGCTGGAACAGCACGTTGGAGTAGGTAATGCAAACCTTGCATTTCACCAGCCCTTTCCAGTTAAAGGCTAGAATAAGCATTTTGATGACGGATCTACACAAAAGCCTAGAGAAGAAAAAGAATACAGTAAAATTTCCAGCAAGAGTTCCCATAAAATAGGTGCATTTTGGCTCCAAGATTTTCCTAGGCTCTAAAAGCTGAGGAAAGCAAGCTGAATCAGCCTCTGATGGTTCGAGAATATACTGAGCAAAGGGCGAAGGTTTCTGTACAGATTTGGACAATCTAGTACATTAAAACCTCCATTTCCATTGGGCAAGCGTCTGATTTCCACATTCTGGAGGATTAATGTTTCTGGTGTATGTCAAAAGCATGTTCCAAAGTGCTCGACATTTCTCTATGCTAAGCATTCACTCAATCTTCAGACTAAATTTGAAATTTTTGAGTATAGAAAAGCACAGAACTTCATAACAGGGCTAACAGGAATTTTTGTAGATCACTAACACTCATTACAGATAAATTTAGTACAGTAACTACATAAATGGAAATTAATGAGGTGCTTGCTGCTATTATGCACTTGAAAAAGAAATACAATGATATTCTAACTATAACATTGACTCAAAATTTTTAAATATAGATCTCAAAAGCCAGATTGCCTAGACTTTAAATGGATAAACTGGTAAGTGCACTAGATTAAAATGTCAAGCAGGAAGTAGACTGCATCCCTGTTTTATATCACGTAATTTTTGAAAAAAGAAACAGCACTGTGCATTTATGTAATTAAATTTGTTCATATAAATTCACAGTGCTGACAACATAAAAATAAAGGGTCTTCAGTCAATGTCATACATGTTTAAAATTTCCAACACAGGGTATGACTGTAGTTCATTAGTAAAGTCCTCTGGCCTGGCTTGCTTGAGGCCCCAAGTTTGATACTCAATACTATAAGAAAAAATGACAAAATATATTTTTAGATTAAAAAGTGAAAATTCAGCTTATTAACAGGATTAGCTTCAGTGTCACACTCTTATAAAGGACACAGCATTTGCATTTGTATAAAAAAATGAAGCTAGACATGAAGTCATGATGGCACACACTTCTAATCTCAGCTGTGTAGGAAGCATAGGGAGATGGCTATGTCTGAATAATAATGAGGCCATCAGTTCAAACTATTACAGCCAAAAAGACATAGATAAGTAAATAAATTGAGAAGCATTGCCTCGTTTAAATTTGTATTTATCTAATTTGAGAAAAAGTAAGGTAAAATGTTCATTATCTCATTTGTGAGTTGTGATTTGCACAAGTCAAGGTGCCAGTACTTAAAATTTTCCGTCAGGGCTGGAACTCACACTTTGCGTGTGTGTCTGCACACATGCACATGTTTGTGTGCACACATGTGCATGCTCAGGCCTGAGCACTGTCCCTCAAGACTTCTGGCTCATGGCTGGCACTCCACCACTAAACCACAGCCCCACCATGGTTAACTGGAGGTAAGAGTCTCCTGGACTTTCCTGTCAGGCTGGCTTTGATCCTCAGTTTCATCTCAGCCTCCAGAGGACCTCAGAAAAGAGAAATGAGACTCTGATGCCCAGAAGCAGTGCACAAGTATTGACCAAGCCAGGAATAGGCCAATAAGCTCTGCTAATGATGACAACTACACATTTAACATCAATACTCATAACAGTGACAACTACAAACCCAACCTCAATACTCAGAACAGTAAGAACTACACACCTAACCTCAATACACAGTAACAACTACACACTTAACCTCAATACTCAGAACAGTAAGAAGAGTGACAACTATACACCTTACCTCAACACTCAGAACAGTCAGAAGAGGGACAACTGCACACCTAACCTCACTACTATGAACAGTGACAACTACACCCCTAACCTCAACACTCAGAACAGTGAGAACAGTGACAACTGCACACCTCACTCAATACCCAGAACAGTGACAAATACACACTTAACCAAAACCCTCAGAATATTGACAACTGCACACCTAACCTCAACACTCAGAACAGTGGCAACTACACACCTAACTTCAATAATCAGAACAGTGATGTCTGCACACCTAATCTCAATACTTGAAACAGTGATAGCTACACAGCTATCCTCAATTCTCAGCACAGTGACAATTGCACAACTAAACTAACTTCAGTACTCACAACAGTGACAACTACAAACCTAACCTCAGTACTCAGAACACTGACAAACACACACCTAACCACAGTACTCAGAACAGTGACAACCACACACCTGACCTTAGTACTCAGAACACTGACAACCACACATCAACTGTAATGCTAAGAAGAGTGACAACTACACACCTAAACTCAGTACTCAGAACAGTGACAGCTACCACATAACCTCAGTACTCAGAACAGTGACAATGGAACACCTACCTCAGCATTCAGTACCGTGAAAAATGCACACTTAACCTCAATACTCAGAACAGTGAAACCACACACCTAACCATAACACTCAGAACAGTAACAACCACACACTTAACCTCAACAATGAGAATACTGACAACTACACACATAACCTGAACACTCAGAAGAGTGACAAGTACACACCTAACCTCAAAACTAGGAACAGTGACAACTACATACCTAGCCTCAACACTCAGAACAATGACATCAACCCTAACTACAACACTCAGAACAGTAACAACTGCATACCACACCTCAATACTCAGAAAAGTGACAATTGCATATCTAATCTCAGTCATCAGAACAGTGACAACTATACACCTAACCTCAACATTCCAAACAGTCTGAACAATGAATATTGCACACCTTACCTCAGTACTCAGGACAGTGACAACTACACACTTAACCTCAATACTCACACCAGCGACAACTAAACCTAAAACCTCAGTACTCAAAACAGTGACAACTGGACACCTCACCTCAACACTTAGAACTTTGACAACCGTACACCTAGCCTTGACAACCACACAACTAACTTCAACACTCAGAACAGTGACAACTACACATCTAACCTCAGTAATCAGAATAGTGACAACCACACACCTAATCTCAACATTCAGAACAGTCTGAACAGTGAATACTGCACACCTTACATCAATACTCAAAAAAGTGACAACTACACATTTAACCTCAGTACTCAGAACAGTGACAACCACATACCTAACCTAACAGTTACAACTGCACACCTAACATCAACACTCAGCATAGTGACAAATACACAGCTAATGTCAACACTCATAAACATGAAAACTACACATCAAACCTCATGACAAATTCACACCTCACTCAGCACTCAGGGAATAAGTTGGATGCAGGTGCAGGCGCCTTAGGCCAGGGCGGGTCAGCTGGAAGTGCTTTCTGAGGCGCCTTTCCCCTTCTTGCACCAGGTCATGGTCTGATGAGGCAGGAGACATATAGAAGCTTGGGGTTGACAGGGTTAGGAATGCTGTCTTAGAGCAATCAGGGGTGATTCAGGGCTGCATGTGCTGCCAGGCCAGCGCCAGCTGGAGAACTGCAGCCATGCCCTCGTCTTCCTCCTCCCCCCCCCCAACCGGCCCCTGCACCCTCCGGTATCCCCATGCTCTGCCACCTGCATTTCTCCCTTTCCAGAACGCCCCCTTCCCTTTATGCCAATCTTCTTCAGCACCATACACAGGCCGGGCTGGTGGTGGCAGCAGTGCGAGCCTGCTCAGGACTTGGGCACAGGTCCAGGACCCCCCAACTTTGCTCAACTTCGGAGCCACCCGGGGCACCACCTTTGTGGCCATGAATGCTCTCAGCCTGTACAATGCCTCCAGAGTGCTCACTATGCTGTGCATAGTGCCTCAGGCTCTTCTAGTGGATGAGGGCTGCTGGCCAGGTGGCCCTGTGCCCCACGCCCCTCCTCTCCTACCTGCATACCCAGCCAGGGCTCTCTGGCCATGGCACATCGGGCGCAGGGAAGCTATTAAGCTCCTTCTGGGATTCCCTGCGGCCGCCGCCCATGCCCGGTCTGGGGACCGAGGTTCCGGCCTGGCTCTGGGCGCAGTGCTTAGCCTTGCTTGGCCATGCTGGACGCCTGGGGCCACTGCCACCTCTTCCTGCATGCGGAGCTGCACCTGCTGCTGGCACCAGCGATTGGTACAGGAGATCGAACAGGTTCGACTCTTTGTCCAGCAGCTGGTGGAAATGGTTGGCCACACCCCGCCAAAGCTCTCCTGCATTGAGGTGCTGGTGACGACCACAGGGGACCCCAGTGCACCCTTATCCCGCCGCGGCCACTGTGGGCTAGTCCAAGCAAGCAAGGCTCAGGGCAGCCTGTGGTGAGGACCTCAGGCTGCCTGCCTCTGCCCTCCCTTCCAGAATCATTCTAGTCCCTCCCACTCCCCGCCCCTGCACTGCCGCTACCACTGCCCGCCCAACTACCATGAGACAGCCAATCAGCACACAGGGACAAGCTCCTTCCCCAGCCTGTGCGCTAGAAAGCCCAATCACAGTCCAGGCGGCTGTTACATAATGCCACCTCCGTGCCCACCCCCTTGTTCAGGAGAAGTGGGCCAGGGGCAAAGCCACCACAGATGGGTGCAGGTGACCCAGGCTGCAGATCCATTGTCTGCAGCCATCCTGTAACCCCTTGGAGCTTGGGGCACATTCCCTGCTCGCAACACTTTTGTGAAGGTTATGCATTCACTTAGCCATTCAACAGACCTGTACTTGGTATTTAGTGTGTGGTTGAGGAGGCACCTGTGCTTCTTGTTATGGACCTTAGGTCTTATTCTGCACACTGAGAAAAAAGACTGAGTCCTCTTCTAACTCCCAGTGCAAGGAAGACATGACTCCTAGTGCAAGGAAATGGCCTTGAGGACATGACACCAAGTGCTTCCCATTGGACTTCTGGAGTCAGACCACTTCCCCAATTATTCCTATTTTCCTTCCAGCAAGGTTAGCATACAAGTTCTTAGGGCTTGTCCTATGAGCATTGCATCTTAATTTTCCAATCACAAAGTACCATAATAACTGTAAGTAAATCAATCCTATTTGCTTTAGGACTAAGAACAGCTTTAGGATGGCTGAAATGGAGATAAGTTTTCTGTTGCTGATATTATCTGGTCACTTGTTTCTGAATTTAATGTAGACCTTATAATAGGTCTCATATATTTTACTGATCATTTGTCTGCTTGGAAGTTGCAATCCTAAATACATTCACAAAATACAATCACACTGCATTAGCATGAGTTATTTAAAACACCGTGTTTGAGTGGTCAATTATGCAAACATCAAATAACTCAAGATGTGAAAATGATCTGTAGTAATTATAAGTAAATACACACATTCCCATAATGTAAAAAATATATATGTAATATCACATATATCCCAGTGGTTATTACCACCAATGGATACACAGTGAAGCTCTACTGTACACAAAATGTATAATGCTTTGGGTTTCAAGAATTTCATTAAATATAATGTAAAATTGCCAAATACCAGTGACACATGCCTATAGTCATAGTTATTCAGGAGGCTGAATTGCAGTTCAAAGCCAGCTCATGGCAGAAACTCTATGAGACTTTCATTTCCAATGAAACACCAAACAGGCCCCAAGGAGAGCCATGGCTCAAGTCTTAAGCTGAAAAGTTTAGGGATAGTGCCCAGGCTCTACATTCAAGCATGGGTGCCACAACCTTCAGATAGACTTAGAATTTAATTCAATTGAGACTTCAACTCTCAGTAGTTACTCCTTTCAATTACATCTTGGTGAAGACAAGGAAGAGCAGCTTCAGTGCCTTGAAAGTCACCTTTCATTCTGTAATTATTTATTGTCTGGATGAATGAATTCCTTGTTGTGTGTCTTTGTTCAAGGCAAATATTTTTTAATGTGTTAAAATTATATAAAGGGCTAGGTTGGCTAGTTACTCAGGAGGCTGAGATATGAAGTTGAAGGTTCAAACCTAGTCCAAGCAGGAATGGCCATGAGATTCTTATCTCTGATTAACCACAAAAAGCCAAAAGTGGAGTTGTGGCAAAAGTGGTAGAGCACTAGTCTTGAGCACAAAAGCCCAGGGACAGCATCCAGGTCCTGAGTTCAAGCTTCAGGAGAGGCAAAAAAATTCAACAAGGTACATCACAAAATCACGTGGATGTGACACTGTTTATTTTTACGGTAATTGCAGCTTAACCTTGTACAGTGCCTACTAAATGCCAGTCATTGGATACTTGTGATCTGCTTGTGAAATCCATGTATCTCCTTAATGACATGGATGCCTTCATATCCCCATGTTCTGTGGCATGAGTGTTCTAAGAGGAAGAGCTAAGTCCTTCAGTCCAGAGAGACTGTTCTGAGTCTGTGGTGTTTTAGTGATAAACACTGAGCTAAAATTTGGTGTTTCAGTAGGGCAATCTGTTCTTTTTTTTATTGTGAAAATACTGTACAGAGGGGTTACAATTACGTGGGCAAGATAGTGAGTACATTTCTTATCAAGCATTGTAGCCTCCTCCTTTGTTTACCCTTCCCATCCCTTCCAATCCTCTGTCCCCCCCCAAGTTGTAAAGTTCGTTTTCAACATGACAACTTGTACTTCTCATTGTTGCAACAGGTCCACCTGTATCCTTATTTAAATGACTTGTATTTCCCCTTCCCCTCCACAAATTATACCGACATCAAATACAGTGAAAGCAGGGGTTATACTGTGGGGGAGGAACATACAAAGCAACAAAGAAATAATCATATAATTGCATTAGAAACAAATGCATGAAAGGAAAAATACATTTAAAATACATATCTTAGGGTTCATTTTCCTAACATCACCTTATCTGACCTTTTCTGCTTAACTCATACATATACTAGATATTGCAAATAAGGGAAGACCTGTCTACAGTAATAGTGGGAACCAGTGCTCAAGCCTGTAATCCTAGCTATTTAGGAGGCTGAGATCTGAGGATTGCCGTTTGAAGCCAGCTTATGCAGACAGGTCCATGAAACTCTTATCTCTAATTAACCATCAAAAAGCCAGAAAGAGAAGTATGGTTCAAGTGGTAGAACACCACCTTGAACAAAAAAAAAAAACTGAAGCCACACAACCAACCAAAAAATAAAAATAGAAATGAATGAAGAGCAGGAGGAGGAAGAAAAAGGCCTATGTGTATACGTTTATCTGTTTGGGGAAACAGAAGGGGAATAACAAAATGTTGAAAGAAGGACAGAGGATGACTCAGTGCAACAAAGATACTTTACAACTTTGGAGAGGGAGGAGTAGTGGGGGAGGGAAGGGATAGTGGGAGAAAAACCAAGGAATGGGTAACAATGTTCAACAAGAAATGTTCTCATTACCTTACTTATGTAACTGTAATCCCTCTGTACAGCACTTTTACAATAAAATGAAAATTAAAAATTAAAAAATAATTTAAAAAAGGAACAAATAATATTGCTATCTGGAGGCACTGGTTTTCAGAAACACCTGTAAAGCAAACTTCTGTATAGATCCATAATTCTATCAGTAATCCAAATTATATAAAGGAGCTAGTGGGGACAGACAAGATACTTAGATCCTCCAAAATACTGTTTTGTTATCTTAAAATTATACCATGTCCATGATAAGGTTGGGTTGTCTATGATACTGGAATTTGGCTTCCATTCTACTTCTATTTCAAATTTGTGTTCAGAAGTAAGCAAATAACTTCCTCCTCCAAGGATGATTTGTTGACCAGCAGAATTTCAGGCCTACCTTAGAGCTGCTAAATATGAATTTATACTCTATAATATCCCTAGGAAATTCCTGTGCTCTGTAAAACTTGAGAAGTTTTGAGCTAGAATAAAAAAACCACAAAGTCAGCATTTGGATGTCAGTTCCTTCTTTTGGAAGCCCAATCATCATGTATGGCTGAGATATTTGCATTGGTCATTTTTGTGTAGTTATATCCAAATACTTCACAGGAACAAAGGAAAGAATTGTCTGTTTTGTTTAGAGATGTTAGTTCATCATGGTTGAGGGTGGGGTAGAGTAGAGCAGCCCACATCACGAAGGACAGGAAGCAGAGAAAGGATAGGGAACTGGAGACCCTGTAAATTCTTTAAAGACCACCACTCCCCCGTAACCTACTTCCTCCAGCCTGCCCTCCCAAAGTTTCCATAGTCTCACAAAATAGTGGCACTAGTTGTGCAATATGCCTTGAATATATTATCTTGTGGGGGACACTTCGTATTAAGGATATAACATTCTGCCCCTAGGCCCTGCAGGCTCATGTTCTTCTCACAAGGCAAAATCTTCAAGACTCTCCAAAGTCTTAACAGTTCCAACAATGGTCAAGAGTCTAAACGTAAAGCCTTTTATGGGACTCAGGGAACTTTAGACTCTTGTATAAAAAAAAGTAAAATATATACTTCTACTGGGCTCGTGCGCACATCTGTAATCCCCGCTATTCAGGATGGTGAGATCTGATTCTGCTTGTGGTTTAAAGGTAGCTGGCCCTGAGTTTAAGCCCCAGGATCATTTTACACACACACACACACACACACACACACACACACACACACACACACACACACACACACAAAAGAATTTTTTTTGGGGGGGGTTGGGCAATGGTGGATCTGAAGTGAAGCAACCAGGCTCCATAAGATAAGGAGCTCATGTCTTCTCTAAGATGCAAATCTCTTTTAACTTTTGTTGTTGTTGTTCTTGCCAGTACAGGGCCTTGAATTCAGGGTCTTGTCCCTTAGTTTTTACATTCAAGGCTAGCCCTCTACCACTTGAGCTACAACTCCATTCCTAGCTTTTGGGTAGTTAATTGGAGATAAGAATATTACAGATTTGCTTGCCTGACTGGCTTTGAACCACAATCAGACCTCAGCCTCCCAAGTGACTATAATTATGGACATGAGCCACCATCACCTGGAACACATGTGGATCTTATATCTAAAACTAACATATAAAAGTACATACATGTCTTAACAGACTAAAGTATGGTATAAGCTGGCATGATATGTATCTAAAGCATATATATATATATATATATATATATATATATATATATACATTCCATATCAAACTGACTAAAATATGGTATAAGCTGGAGTGAGATTCCATGATATAACCCCATCAAAAAGATAATAGTTTAACAAAAATGAATATCAGGAAACTGAAATGTGTCTTAACTACTAGAACAGGTGGATGCTAATGGGAAGGGAAGTGAATAGAGAGAATGGTGGGAGAATGTACATATCAGTCTCAATATATGTATGTGAAAATGGAACTTAGAAACTGAATGAGATAGGTGGGTTTGTGATAGGTGGAGAGAGAAAAACTGATGGAGGGAGAATGATTGTACAAGATGGGCTGTGCAGATAAATGGACACGTTAATTCAAAACTCTTCTGTAAAACTATTTGAAGGTGACAATAACAATAATTGGGCAAAATGTGTCTGACAGCTAACAAAAGACACTGTGGATATCATGAGAAGTACAGGGAGAAGATGCCCAACTCTAGTGATTAGGGAAATGTGGATCAAAATCGACTTCAAATTTATTAAAATGATAAAAATGAAGAGGTCTGATCGTGCTAGATTCTAAGAGGTGATGTGCTTAGAGTGTCCCAGAGGTTTATAGAGCAGAGGCTTGGTCCCCAAATGGCAGTGCGGGGAGATGGTAGGCACCTCTAGCTCCCAAGTGCATGCCAACAGTAGAAGGCAGGGACAGATACACCTATGTTCATACAACATTGTTCACTATAGTCAAAGAAGCTGGAAGCACCCTAAGAACCCCTTTGCAGGTGACTGTATACAGAGAACACCACATGCACGTGGATTGGAGTATTTACACACCTTGGGCTGTACACGGAGAATATGACATGTGGACACAGTGGAATATTGACTCACATTGGGCTGCACACGGAGAACATGATGTGTGCACACAATGGAGTACTGACACACTGTGAACTATACATGGAGAAGACAGCATGCGCACACAGTGGAGTATTTAGACACAGTGGACTGTACATGGAGAACAACTGTGCCCACAATAGAGTACTTACATACTGTGAACTGTACACAGAGAACAAAGCCTGTACATGCAGTGGAATATTTACACATAGTAGGCTGTACAGAAAGGACATGGCATGTGCACACCGGGGAGTACTGACACCCAGGGGACTGTAAACAGAGAATACAGCATGTGTACACAGTATAGAATTTACACACAGTGGACTGTACCCACAGAACATGGCATGTGCATGCAGTGGAGTACTGGTCCTGGGAAGGAAGGTAAAATGCTGACTGATGGGCCCAGCCTGGCCTTTCCTGAGACCGCTGGCCCTGCACCCCTCTTCCTGGACTTCTAGGAAACACTGTCCCCTGATCCCGAGACCACAGCCAGGCCCTTGGCCCCTCAGCTCAGCTGCCTGGGGACACCTGTTGGCCCTGGTAACTCATCTCTAAGTGCCTGCAGATCCCACCCACCAGCCCTGGGCCACTCACCCTGGGTGGCACAAGACCCTATTTGGACACCAGCCCCTCTGCCCAGGTAGCCTTGAGACCATGTCTGGACCTTGGCCCCTGACCTCGCTAACACCAGGGCTGGCAGACCTTTGGCCCCTCACCCCGGGGTTTTCCCAGCCTCAGCCAGTTGGATTTTGGGCCTTCACCCAGAAAATGTCTGGCCTTCAGCTCCTAGACCTAGTCTGCCCAGACACCCTGCCATTTGCATTCCCCCCATTAGAGGCTCAGCATGTTCTGAGCTGTGCACTCCATATTGAAGGGGCTCCCTTGGAGCTCAGGGTGGCCCACTGGAAGGTTCACTCCAATAAGTAGACTCATGAGGGTACTGGTGTGGCCAGGCTATGGGTGGCAGGCTTCCTGGCCATGTGTAGATGTTTCTCTGAAAGACATTTTATTTTTTGATAAATGAGATAGTGTCTCAATCAAGTGCAGGACATCCTTCAACTCACTTCCTCCTGAGGGCACCACCACACTGGGCTCATTTCTTTGCCATGTTATAGGAGCAGTGTGCTTAACTCCCAGTGTGCTGCTGAGGAAATGCGTTGGGCAGTTGGCAGTGGGCAGGAGCAGCCACAAGGGCTGTGAGTTGATGAAGTGGGTATGCAGCCTGCCCTGGCACCATGTTGCTAGACTGGAGGGATTGGGTGCCCCGAAGTTGAACATGCCCAGTGTTTTGTTCTGGTGGGCTAGCCCGGGCAGGTGTCAACATTGTGTAGGAAAGCACTAATGAAAATGTGGTTCTCATCCAGTCTTGACAACTGAATGGATTTATGATTAGAAGGGGGGTGACAGAGTTCAGTTGTCTCTGGCCACATACATGTATTCATGTGTCCATTCTCTCTTCGCACCCCATTTTTAGTTTGTGCTGTGTATGGGGGAACTGATGCTAAAGCTCTTGTTAAATGGGGAATTAAGAGGTTAAAAAAAACACTCTTCTCTTCCTGGGTACCTTAGGCAGGACTTTGGACAAGCTATTCTCCTGCCTCTTGACAGGAGAGTGCTTGGATTATGGGGTGCCTGGTTCATTTATTTTAATTTCGGGAGGAGTATTGGGGTTTGAACCCAGGGCATTGTTCTTGGTATACAGGCACTTCAACCTCTGAGCCACACTTCTCACCTTGGCTCCTTTGCTTTATTCTTCTGATATGCTCTCACTCCCTCCTTCCTTCTACCTATGTCTCCCAAGGAGCTGAAATTACAGGAATGAGTTTTCATACGCAAAGAAGTCGAATTTTTTAAATCTTAAGAATATCTTGGTGAGAGAAGATTTTAGGACAAGATTCTTTGTATTTTACACTATGCTTGCTGATTAGCCTACCTTCTTTTACCTTCTGATTGTTTTTCATTAATTTATGAGTTAGCAGGAAGGAATAACCAGATCCTACAGTGGCTGCAAGATCTTATACATCTGACCTGATCTCTGTTCTTTCTTCTCTATTTCTACCTCTGTTTAACCTGCTTTGATCTTGAATTATGCTCCAGATTGGCTTTTTCCACTTCTGTTAACACAGAGCTATAAATTAGGTATACAAGTTTGCCTTTGACTTCAACAGTAATAAAAAAATCATTTTTTTTGCAAAGATTACTTGTGTCAATCTTTCTTTGGTGTGTTCATTTTTAGGATGTCATTCCATTTAAGTGTTAATACTGATCAGTGTTTCAACAGCAGGGATCCCTTTGCTTTGATCGTTTTTCTAATTCTCTATCTTGGATTTGGAACATTTCAATGTTCATATTATTGACTCTTAAAGTATACCCTGTGTTCTAGAATTTCCTTAATCTTCATCTGAGGTTTAGTTTTGTGAGGCTTGTTGATCGTGGATGTGTAGCTCTAAGTTAGAAGAAGTGGTGGACTGGATGTTCAGGTTTAACCACTGCCCTTGTCCTGCCTTTGCATGCCTTGTTTCTGACTCCCAGAGAACATACGTTTGGTGGTTGTTCTTGTGAGGGTTGTGCCACTGGGTTGCTGACCACCTCTTCTTGTGGCCCGTTCTGTGCTTCGATGGGGGCCAGTTCTCACATGGACTTGGTGGCATGCTTATATGCCTCATTTCCCTTTGGAAACAGACAGTTCTGGCTCAAATAATTGTGGGGATTGTGCCTGTGGGCTCAGAGGGGGTTTAGGGGAAGAGGTTATGCAAAACTCTGCTGTCTGCAATAGTTAATGGAGTGTGGGAGGTTGGCTCTGACCTTACGTTGCCTTCCAGAAGGATGTTGGCCATGGAAGACTTGGGGAGAAACACTACCATCTTTTCCAGCATGAGGACTTTGAACTTCATTTCTTAGAGAGTGGAAGGACTTTTCCACTTCTGTTCCAAGTTCTCTACAGATGCAGTAGCAGCAGAGCAGGCAGGTAAAAAGTGTGTCCCTGTGAGGTTTCTGGGTAGACACCTGGGCACAAAGAGGCCTGGTCAAGACCTGAATAGCTCAGGTAAGCAGCCCTGAGGGATATGCTGGTAAGGGTGATGTCTAGGGAGACACTTGGGCTGATGTAGGGCTTGTTCCCATCCTATGTCATTGAGGCAGCTATTTGTCCTCCAGATCTCATCCTGGTATGCAGACGTATTTGGGGTGATTATAGGAGGCCGTAAAACTATTGTTACAAAGGCTTACTCACCCTGGTGAGTGCTCTTTTCCTCATGAGTGCTTTTTTCCTGGTGAGCAAGTGTTCTCCTCTTGGTGCGGATCCTCTCCTAATGAGTGCTCTCCTCCTGGATGAGTGCTCACCATTGTCCTCCCTCTCATGGACTCGTGGATGCTGATGACGTTCTTGGAGAGCCTGGGAGGAGGAGCATCAGTGTGTCTTCCTCTTATACGAGGAGGCTATGTTGTATGCATAGGTCTCCATCAGCACTGTGAATGATCCTGTGCAGATTATAATGTGGTGGTGGGATGTCCTGTACTGGTCTATTTGGGGTTCTAAAAGCCTCTTGTATCTGAATAAGCCTATATATTTGCATGTTTGCGAAGTTCTCTGCTAGGATCCTGTTAAACAAATTTCCTAGACCATTAACTTCTGTCTCTAGTTGCTCCTCTACACTCATTATCCTCAGATTAGGCCTTCTGATGGTGTCTTCCAAATGTTGAATAGATCTATCATATTTTTTGGATTTGTCTTGGATAGTTTTATGTTCTTTCTCTGTACTCGATATTCTTCAATACCCAACATTTGATCTTATGCATGGTCTAACCTATTGTCAAGACTTTTTACTTTCTTTTTTATTTCTTTTCCTTCTACATGGTCGGCTTTGATGGCTTCCAATTCTTTGTTGGAAATTTGTTTTAGATCTTGAGTGAACGTCTTTAGTTCCTTAATTTGGTGTTCAGTGTTTATTCTCAAATCACTTAGTTGATTGGTTATGGTTTCCTTGGACTCCCATTCCTTCTGTTGGGCTCCATTCAGCATTCCCTTTGTGGTGTCCCTGAATTCTTTCAATTGTCTGTTTATGGATTCCATGAATGTCTCTATTCATCTTTGTCTGTTCTCATCCCTCTCTCGCAATTCCTGTTTTACTTTTTGATTAGTTTCCTCACGTTCACCCTATTCCTGTAGTTCTCTGACTGTTCTCAGCCTGCTCACACAATTCCTTTATTTCTCTATGACAGTTCCCAACCTGCTCAGACAATTCTTGTATTAAATTTGAGTAGCTTCCTCATGCTCACGAAATTCCTGTATTAATCATTGGTTTGCCTCATCTTTTTCCCTATCACACTCACACTGAGTCCGTTGCAGGTTTTCAATCTTTTCGTTTACCATGTTTACCAGTAATGTTTGTAGAGCATTTTCCAAACTCTCCTCTGGATTATTCATTAACTATTCTGTAACCTGATTATCATGGATGGGAGTTATGCTACCTGGACTTGCCATTTTTTCTTGTGGTTTTCAGGCTTGTTCTGCCCATTTGGTATGAAAGTAACACAAATTTTGTGCTAGAACAATATTTTAAGGCCACATCAACCAGAGTCCTGTAGTTGCACAGTCAAAATGGCAGCAGATACAATCTGGTTCAACAGATACAATCTATTCAACATCAAACAACTATGGTTTAATGGGCTAAAAACAGCAAAGAAGAACTTGGCAAACCAGAAATTCTTAGGTTTATGGAGAAATGTGGGGGAAAATAGGACTAGAGGGATGTGGAGAGGTAAAAGGAGAGTGACTTTAACCAAGTCCTAACTTCAGAGAGGGAAATGGATAGGACAGAATAATAGAAGAGAGATTAAAAAAATGAAGAAAACCAAAATTTAAAATTTAAAAAGTGAAACACTTAAAAATGATGTAAGTTGAAAGAAATGATATTGAGAGAAGAAAGGATAGGTTGAGAGGAGGGGAGAGATAGAAAGGAAACATGAAAAACTAAAAAATAAAAATACTTAAAATTAGATACTTGAAAATTATACAGGTATAAAGAGGAAATATTGCTATTAAGGATTTTCTGGATTAAGTATTACACAATGGGGGATAAGGTCTAATAATTGAAGATGGTATATATCTGGGGATGAGCAAAGAGCAATTAAGTCATGCAAGAAAGAAAGAAAGAGAAAAGAAGTGAAAAGAATATTTTAAAAGGACCAAAATATCAAGAAGAGATTTTAAAAAGCACGCACACCTGTGCACCTAAAATCAAAATTATGAGATGAAAAGAAAAGATTAATAGGAAACAATTTAAAAAAATATTTTTTTTAAAAAAGAAACAAAAAATTCTTTGATTTTTTGGGGGGAGGGAATGGGAAGATCCTGTATCTCCCCTTTGTCCATAACCAATGTCTTGGTGTAGTCTCTGGTCTGCTTGTGGTGCTTGGTTTTCTTGTGGCTTGATTGGTTTCTTAAGTCAGTTTGTTTGAACAGGCATAAAAATGCTCTGTGTTAGGCAGGATTTTGTGATCCTCTTCCCAGGCTAGTTCAGTGGGAGGGAGCTCTTCTTTGAGTATCACAAAAGAGGGAGATGGCTCTTTCCTCTAGTTTGGAGATGCTGTGATGAGGCAAGATTCTGGGTAGGGTTGAGGCCTTTCAGCAAACAGTAGCTTTTCCCTGAGGGGATAGCTCCTGAGACACTCACAGATCCCATCCAGTAGCCATTCTTAGGGTTTATGTTTACTGAATTTCGATGGATTATCTAGGCTGCTGTAGGGAGGGGCAGGCTCTGGTTCTGTTTACTCAGTGAAGAAAGTCACTCCTCTGGGGGTGGAGATTTCTCTGCGGGAGCAGGTGACTTTCCCCTGGGTGGGCCTGAGCCTGGAAGGTCAGGTCAGGTTGCTGTGACCTGCTAAATGATTCTTTTTTTTTCTTTCTAGCCCCAAGTTGGAGCTAGCTGCTCAAAGGAGCCGTTGTCAGTATCAAAAATTGAGATCTCCAGTGGTGGGGGAGGTACAGCCTTCCCTCCTCAGTTACCTGAGATGGAGTAAGGAGGAGAGTCTTGGTTCCTGGACAGTCTCTGGTCTGCAGTCTGCAGGATAAAGGTATCTGCTCCTTGTCAGTTCTTGTTGGTGTTGAGTATAATCCTCTTGCCCACAGTGTCTGTATCCTTCGTCCCGGACTCTCTCTGTAGATGTGGTGGCTATGGCCTCTGCCGCTGCTGCCACAGCAGCCACATCCATGGCTACCGGCAAACACTAAATCTGTCTCCTTGCCTGGATTTTCCCTCTCTGGCCAAGCTCTCTGTACTGTGATGACACACTTGATGTGATTCTCTAGCTTAGGACTGTTCACTAGAACACTCAAACTCCTTTCTAGATGAGAGCTTGTTTAGGCTCCAACTTCTCTTCCACCATCTTCCTCCAAACCCAGCTTGTCTTTCTTTATAAAAGCAAGGATTGTCTTGGTGGGAGGGGGAGGGACAATGGCTGGGTGTAACTTCTTTTACAGCTATGTTCCCTTGAGTGTCTTCAAGGTCTGGTTCACCCTTCCCTCCATGGGGCTGCAGTCCCATGGGTGCTCTTATTAAACTTTCCTTGGTCTGGGTCTGGAGCATCTTGTATATGACATAAGGCCTTAGTCTGAGTCAGACTTGAACATGTTTCCAAGTGTGAGAAAAGCTTCTTTTCTATCAAAAGTTGATTGGTTTCTTACTGTCAATTTTTTGAGAATTGTTTTTCTGAAAAGTTTCTTTGTTGTTCTGGTGACTTGCCTTTGTTGATTACATTTTGGTTATATCTTTTGCCTGCTGAAATTTAAGGATCCTGTTCAAAGTTCTTGAATGTATGTGACACCTTGTTAATTCACATCCTTTTGCATATTCTGTATCTGAGCTCAGCCAGTCTGAGCACATGGGCAGGGCCTCTTGGCATAGGGAATAAAAGGGAACAGTGCCTGTTGTGTGTGCTTGCTTGCCAAAATGTTGGTTAATGGCACATCCTTCTGCAGTAGTAAATTTTGTCTTTCCAACTTCCTTTAAAGTTGATGATCTTTTTTTTAAATTTGTATTTATTTTTATTGTGAAAATACTGTACAGAGGGGTTACAATTACATCGGCAAGATAATGAGTACATTTATTTTCAAGCATTGTAGCCTTCTCTTTGGTTTTCCCTTCCCATCCCTTCCCATGATCTTTTTCCTACAAGACAGCCCAATATCCAGAGCCATGTCTAAAACTACTGACTCTCAGAAAGCTTGTATGGGCAGCTTTCATGAAGGCTTTCAGGGAGAGTGCAGCAGTGCTGGGCTTGATTGACTAGCAAACACTCCTGTCTTCCTGGAATCCAGGACCTTCCCTTTGCTCCCTCCCTTCTCTGCAGGTAACAGAGACTCTGTCCAATCTCTGTGGATCATAGAGATCAGAGATTCTAGTTCTGTCCCCTCCTCCCTAGCTTCTCCAAGTTTAATGGTGGATTGTGGCTCTTAGTTCTGTATAATGTGGCTGTTGTAGGCCCAGCATAAAGTGACTGTGTCTGCAAGTCAGTGTGTGTGTGTGTGTGTGTGTGTGTGTGTGTGTGTGTGTGTGTGTGTTTGTGTGTGCATGTGTGCTCATGCCCATGTGCCCACATGTGCATGCACGTGCATGGACTGGTACTGGTGCTTCCACTCAGGGTCTCTTGCTCTTGCTTAGCTTTGTTGCTCAAGGCTAGTGCTCTATTACTTGAGCCATACCTTCACTTTGGACTTTATGCAAGTTGCAATGCTCAGATTTCAGCCTCCTGGCTTTGCCATTTGTAGAGGCGGGTTTCCTGTCTCTTAATGCTCACTGTCCCTGTCTTTTTTTCCATGCCTTGCACTGGACCTGAAGCAGAAGCTGTGCCTATAGGAAGGAGCAGGATGCAGTTGTTATGAGAAACATGAAGCCTGAGATATAGTGGCTGCTCAGGGTGTATTGGAAGCCGAACCCACTCCAGGAGAATGTTTGCCTGTGTTGAAGAGCCTGGTGTGGCTGTGCTGCTCGGCAGGGGTAGAACAGCTTCAAAGGTCAGGAGACTTCATTTGGTTCAGTGTCAATGTCAGTTTTACATATTTGCTTGGTATGTGGTGAGGGGTCTATAGTTGTCTTTTCAGAAGCTGCTGGTGAAGCTGTGGAGTGGGGAGAGACTGGATCATACCATGACCTTGGGCCTCAGTTGGGTGTGCTGCCACCCTCCCCTCCCTTCAGGTGGGTAGGCCACTGTCCTCACCTCTGCCCTTTGGCAGCCAGCATCCACCATGGTTCTGCCCTGGCCGGCAGCCTCAGTTCCTCATCTGGAGGTTTTATTTCTCTCTCTGAATGGGGCTTTTGTTCCACATTGCCCAGGTTTATCTCAACAATGGGAGAGAAAATAGAGCTGAGTTATGCAATTTGTTCAAGTCTTAGCACCATTATTAAAAACTCCCACAGTGATGAACAGTGTCTGTCCTGTGCTGTT